TCGGCTCGTAGCCCCGCCTCTTCACTGATCGCTACTAGGTCCTGTTTCTGTTTCCTGAGCTTTGTCATACCTCGTCTTAAAGCTATGTATGGTTCCTGCCTCCACTACGTCACTTACTGACGACTCTATGACTGAAGAAATACTTGCTAACATCTCAGTGACTTGTCTGAGTCTTCAGCTTCCAATTGTGACTCCTTGTTTCTGTGTCCCCTCTCTGGAACATCCTATCTCTGTCCACCTTATCGATTCCCCGCAGTATCTTGTGTGTCGTTATCATGTCTCCCCTGACCCTTCTGTCCTCCAGTGTTGTCAGTCCTAATTCCCTCAACCTTTCATCGTAGAACATTTCCCTGAGCTCTGGGACTAGCCTTGTTACAAACCTTTGTACTTTCTCTAACTTCATGACGTGCTTGACCAGGTGTGGGTTCCAGACTGGTGCTGAGTACTCCAGTATGGGCCTAACGTACGCAGTGAACAGTGTCTTTAACGATTCCTTATTAAGGTATCGGAACTCTATTCTCCGGTTTGCAAGGCGCCCATATGCTGCGGCAGTTATCTGGTTGATGTATGATTCTGGAGACGTGCTGGGTGTTATGGTCACCCCAAGATCTTTCTCCTTGAGTGAAGTTTGTAGTCTTTGTCTACCTAGCCTATACTTTGCGGTCTTCTTTGCCCTTCCCAAATCTTCATGATTTTGCATTTGGCAGGGCTGAATTCGAGAAGCCAGTTTCTGGACCATGTGTCCAGTCTGTCCAGGTCTCTTTGTAGTCCTGCCTCATCCTCATCCGATTTAATTTTTCTTATCAACTTCACATCATCTGCAAATAGGGACACTACAGAGTTTATCCCTTCCATCATGTCGCTCGCATATATCAAATATACCACTGGTCCTAGAACTGACCCCTGTGGGACCCCGCTCGTCACAGGCGCCCGCTGTGATATCTCTTCACGAACCATGACTCGTTGTCTCCCTGTCAGTTATTCTCTGATCAATTGCAGTGCCGTCCCTGTTATATGTGCCTGACCCTCCAGCTTCTGCACTAATCTCTTGTAAGGAACTGCCTCGAAGGCCTTCCTGCAGTCCAGGAATATGCAATCCACCCACCCCTCTCTCTCGTGTCTTACTTCTGTTACCTTGTCATAAAACTCCAGAAGGTTTGTGACACAGGATTTGTCTACCATGAATCCATGCTGGTTGTCACTTATAATGTTCCCTTCCATGTGCTCCACCACTCTCCTCCTGATAATCTTCTCCATCACTTTGCATACTATACATGTCAGAGACACTGGTCTGTAGTTTAGTGCCTCGTTTCTGACTCTTTTCTGAAAAATGGGGACTACATTTGCCGTCTTCCATATCTCAGGTAGTTGCCCAGTTTCAAGGGATGTATTGAAGAATGTGGTTAAGGGCACGCACAGTGTCTCTGCTCCTTCTCTAAGGACGCACGGGGAGATGTTTGATCCCATCGCCTTTGAGGTATCAAGGTCACTTAAGAGCTTCTGCACCTCCTCCTCTGTTGTTCGTATGTCATCCAGCACTTGTTGGTATATTCTCTGTTGATGTTCCCCTCAGTGCTGTCTTTCCAGAGCCCTTCCTGTCGCTACTGTAAAAACTTCCTAAAATCTCCAGTTTAGCTCCTCACACACCTCCTGATCGTTTCTTGTTAGTTCCTCACTTTCTGCCCTCGCCCTGATCACTTGGTCTTTGGCTGTTGTCTTCCTCCTGATGTGGCTATACAACAGTTTCGGGTCAGACTTGATTTTCGATGTTATGTTATTTTCATACTGTCGCTGGGCCACCCTCCTTACCTGTACATACTTGTTCCTGGCTCTGCAACTAATTTCCCTATTTTCATGTGTTCTATGCCTTCTGTACTTTTTCCATTCTCTATTGCACTTAGTTTTTGCTTCCTTACACCGTCGGGTAAACCACCATTGCTCTTTTGCTCTCTTCATATTCCTCTCTTGGCCTCCTGCAGTTCTGTGGCGGATTATACATCACTGCAATGACTACCTTATGCTCCCCAGACTGAAGTGTACATAATATGTAGTCCCTTTCTCCAATCTCGTCCATGCCTCCCATTTTCTCGAATTTCCATCGGTTTTTTACGAGCAGTGTGTGTGTGTAAGACTTAAATTATTAAAAAATAGTATTACATTGTTTACCTTGTCCCTCAAATCTTGGATGTTATTTTGTATTTAGGTGACAAATATTTAGTCATTATCATGTATTTCGTGGTGTTCACTCTGGACAGATCCAGGAGACTTTCTTTTACAGTGTGGAGGTCTAAGGTTGCACAGTTCTTGTAGCCCAGATCAGAAGAGAGTTTCTGGGTGTATAAACTGGTCATCACTCCAGCTGCCATTTGGCAGCCCTGTTCTTCACCCAGGTCATGACATATCTGGAAGTAATAAATGATTAAATTTGCTTTGTTTTTTATTAGCAATGGAGAATATTAATAAATTCACTATAAATTTTGTTTAGTTGTGTTGTAGTAATTGTTGTAAACAAGGAGATATTAAAACATGAGGAAAACTTACTTTAAGTAAATGAAAACCTATTAAATGCTGATAATCGATTATTTTCGTGCATTCTCATGGGCACAGAGTTTAAAATTTAAATACTGAATTGGTCAACTCTATGTTTAGTGGGAAGCTATAGATGCAGAACCTCCTGTTTCCTTTAATATATCACGAATCTCCAACTCCAGCAGCATGTCAGATTTCAAATGTAATTCTCCTCCATTCACTCTCATCCTGCCTAGTCAGAAATACATTCTAGATACTCTAGTCGTTCCATTAAAAACAAAATTTCACACTTTGATTTTTCTCCACCCTAGAACTTTATGTTCAATCTTGCACACCAAAAAAATTCCCCATAATTTTCCAGTCTTTCTTCTTAAATTTTAGTTCTCAATTTTAGCTCTCCTGAACAATGCCTTCCAAAACCAGATATGTTCTAAGTAAGTTACTCCCGACTCAAACTACATGAAAGCAGTCAGTCGTAGGATATCTCTGGGGACTCTTCAAGCAGGCCAGCTCTTCCCAGAGTTCACAAGCAGTCAGTCGTAGGATATCTCTGGGGACTCTTCAAGCAGGCCAGCTCCTCCCAGAGTTCACAAGCAGTCAGTCGTAGGATATCTCTGGGGACTCTTCAAGCAGGCCAGCTCCTCCCAGAGTTCACAAGCAGTCACAATGGGACAACCCAAATAGAGAGATAATCATATGTACATTGTTCGACAACACTTTAGAAAAAGAAACAGCTGACGTGAAGGCTCCATATCGACACTCAGGCTATGTGAATTATTGAAGCTCTTCACTTATTGACACCTGTTCTCATAAAACACAGGCACATCTGTATCAGTTTGGATACCACAGACTCCACTGTCATAGATCGAAAGGATATTTTGCCAAACACAAAGAGATCAATGATATCACCTACTGAATCTTTGCCACAGCCCAGCAGAATTGAAAGCTCAGGTAACCATCCCCAATGGAAGAAGAGAGCTCACTGATGGAATCACTCCTCTACACTGGAAAGCATGGCACTACACTTGTGTGTCTAAAATGGCCGACACCTACTTAGAATACAATACAACAGAAAGGCGAGATGCGTGCAGTTTTTGAAAAATCGTGACCAACAAATACAGATCTGGTTGTCAGGGGAACCCGTTCCGCCTGAAAAAAAAAATGGAAAAATAAATAAACAACTCTAGGAATAATAATGAAGATAATTTTCTAAGGCTTTTAATTAAAATTAAATAAAATAAAAAATTGCCCGTTATAGTTCCAGTATGATGTTGGGACAGGAGTATCTGATGCCCAGGATGGTTTCTGATGTTTTGAAGAAATGGAGTAGGTTATCCTGGGTGGCGGTGTTCGTCCCATGTTCTGGAAAATCCTGTCACTACCTGGTGGTAGCACCACAATGAAAATTTCAGAGAGCAGTCGTAATGTCCCGCTACGTCCAGTAGACAGGGATATTGCTCCAGTTTACTAGTGTCTACTCTGGTTGACAAGGCCAGCAGCACAGCAGACAATAAAAAAAAATAACACTGGTTACACAAGAGATAGGCAAGTAAAACATTGAAGAATGACAAAGGGTGGTATTCAACTTCAGTGCCATTACTGGTAACCAGGAATATCAGAACCAATAAACAGAAATACTCCTGGTAGATCACCTTACCTGATCAGGAGAAGAGTGGAGGTGAAGTGGTTCTCCAAACTTCAACCCACACCAGGTAAGGTTAATATTACCAGATACGGTACTATGTTCCACAGTCAGCCCTCCTGGCCCTATATCACTCACTTATTTACCCCTATCTCACCTATGGAATTTGTGCATGCGGCTCAACAACAATAAACCATCTCAGACCATTAATTACCCAACAAAAGGCTGCAGTCAGAATGATGAATGATAAATTCCCACTACAGGCAGCACACTCCACCAATATTCAAAACTCTAACCCTACTCACCATACAAAACATCCATACTTATTACTCCACCTACTACATACATAGAACACTTAACTCTGATATAAACCCTCCCCTCAAACGTCTCCTTACCAACCTCAACAGAACACATGACCATAACACAATTATTATTAAAAATTCGCCGGTATTCTCCCGGCCCGGGCCTTTTCCAAGTGGTGGCCCGGCCTTGGCTCCCTCTTTAGGGAGTGTCTGAGACCTAAGTCTCCCATGGGAGGAGGCACAAGTACCTCCTCATCTTTGGGACCAACTGTCCCCAGGCCTAGCCACAAGCTAGGCCTCTCTGGTCTGCCATCCCCGCCCCAAGGGGGCAAATGGGAATGGCAGTCTTATGAGCTAAAGGCTCGGGCTCAGGCACCTACCCTACCCTAGAAGGGTTAGGCATGGTGTCGATGCATAACACAAGGCACAGAACACTCTTTGATATTCCTCGTGTCCACCTCACGCTATGCAAAAACTCTATGCTCATAAAAGGCCCTAAAATCAGGAACTCATTACCTGTCATTATAAAAGAAACACTGTTTATAAATTCAAGTCTCTTCTCAAAAATCACTTACTCACCCACAACTAAATAAATACAGAATAATTGTATCTCATAAACTGTATCTCATTAATGTTTCTCATTGTTGTATCTCATAAATGTCTAACCTGTGACCCAATCAAACTTCGTTATTTTTTAATTACATTACCTAACAGAATACTCCATTCTATTGAATGCTCAGCAACACAGTAAATGACCATATGACCTGTCTTTGTAATACTCATTTGTGCTTAATTGTTATCTGTTTACAATAATGTTTTTACCACTGAATATATCATTGCTTAGTTAATCTTAAGTTAATTTTAAGCCTGCCCATAATGCTCTGCATACAAGGGACTTTGGCATGTTGCACTTTAATAACTGTATTCCTTTGTACTTCTCTGTATCATGTTCAAATTAATAAATAAATAAAATAAATAAATAAATAAATCCCAGGAACTGGAGATCAGCATCAGCCCGCTAGATGGTAGTGCGAGCAGTGACACTCTAATGGTTCCTGCGAGTCTAAACGACCATAACCCCAACTTATTACCCGCTTTTCCCTCACACTGGCAACATGCCATAAATTCGTAACAATAAGACTGGAGACACTCAGAGCAAGGGACAATTACGAAGGAAAAAGGATTTGTGTGAAAAACTCAAGAGGGAAATAAAGTCCAATCTTCGGACAAAGACGTACTTAGACTAGTGGATGGTACCACTATGACCCCGCCTTCTTCTGCTTCGTCTCACCTGACTACAGTATATAAGTCACTGCTACGGCCCTGTGCTGTACTTTCTACAGCTGTATAGCCCTTGTGGTTTAGCACTTCTTTTTTATTATAATAATAATGTGCTTTCTACAAGACTGATGGACTGAACACATCGACTCCAGGCTGAGGGACTGATTACCCCACACTCCTCTTCTCCTTATACATTCCTGCTTTGTGTAAGACTGATGAAGCCACTGTGTGGAGAAACGTTTCTTCAATAAAAATTCCTGTGTGTTGCATCTTTAATTCTTCAACTTCTCGGTTTTCAAAATCATTTATCACACATAAATTACCATACCTGTAGTGAGAATTAATACACTGGGAGGTGTAATGTGTACATTACGTGTGCTGTTAACGTCATCAATTTCTGACGACACCGTTTCTTTTACACTTTAGTTGATTTCACTGGAAGATTCGGCCGATTTCCAAATTCCTTGAGAGAGCCGACACTACCTCTCAAGACGGCTACCCGGGCATTACTACCGATTCAGTTTACCTTTTATGACCTCTTCCCTTGGGTCAAATAAAAAGCCGAGACCTGCAGTCAACCTTCCTCACCCGTCTCACCACCACACAGTTGGAATCACTCACTCGCTTCCTCACAAGTAGTTTGGTAGTTTGTGACTACCAATAATATTTACATTACATTATGTTAACACTTCACATACAATTACTAATTATAGGAAAATTATAGTAAATTTTCCACACTTTCGTAATACAATAATCCAAGTCTATCCCAAATTGAAAAGTCATATATATTCACACACAAGTCACAGACAGATCAGTTTGTGACGTAAAGTCCACTGTGTCTCTGAACTGAATTTGTATCATTTCGCTTCATTTGCTACAACATCTGAAGTTACTCCACCAACGCTGATTCAGCACCCACCTGCCTTCTCTTAACGCTACCACTACAGCTAATTACCCGTGGACCGGTAAGCCAGCGGAAGGCCTCGGTCAGATGGCCAAAAGCTCCAAAGGCGGGTCATCATCTGACTAAGACCCTCGTCAGGAAACACTTGTCTTGTTTCCTGACGAACCTTACCTAACCTAACCTAACCTAACCTAACCTAACCTAACCTAACCTAAACTAACCTAACCTAACCTAACCTAACCTAACCTAACCTAACCTAACCTAACCTTACCTAACCTAACCTAACCTAACCTAACCTAACCTTACCTAACCTAACCTAACCTAACCACCTACCTACATAACCTTAGCACTATCACAGGAGCTGAATCACCACCTACCTTCAGGTGAAGACCTGTTTGTGTGCTCTTGAGTGGTGACCTGTACTTTGAGTGCTGACCTATACTTAACTCTGTGAAGAAGTGTCTTGTTTGCTCCCGTGGACTGAACCAAGATGCCCTCCATGGAGCAACTTTACCAGCAACTTAAGGAAGAATTGAGGGCAGCGAAGCTGGAGATACGGCGATTGACCGAGGAAAACAAGAGGATTCGTAGTAGTCCTCCTGTTTCGAGTCCTCAGGTCAAGAAGGGATCGTGGTCAGTGGCTGGACAGCAGGGGACGACGAAGTTGACGATCAAGAAGACGAATGGAAAGCCAGAAACGATGAAGAAGAAAGAGACTGCTGTGGAAACTCCCGTGGAAACCTC